CACACTATGAAGAATTTACAAGCATTAGCCTATAGCCCCCCCCCCCCTCGTACCACATAATAGACCATAAATATAATTTTGAGTCGACTAGAACATGGCCAACAGAGTATGGTAGCGTTTATGGCCACTTGGTATTACGACTGAGAAGTATTCTACGATATAATGTTATACGAATTTTTAAAAATATACTTAATGTGTAGTTAAGTTTTATTATATAATTTAATCGCAGCGGTTCTTAACCAAATTCCCCGTCTGGGCACATCTGACAAACAATAAATTATTGGCGGGCGCAGTTAAAAAAAAGTAACGATTCTTAATATATTTATTTTATTGAAATCATAAGCATCATAAACAATACCCTACATTAAAAAGGTAACAAAAAATTCAAAATAGTTATATTTGATGCAATTTTTGGCATGGCATATTATCCACTAATTTTTCAAAGACAGGTGTATAAGATGATACTTCCAATCTTATAGCATCTTCGAGATTTCCATCGTTATATCGAGATCCGATTGCTGATTTAATTGTGTTGTATATATTGATATAGTATATAGCGGACAGTCGCGGGCGGCAAAAATAATTTCGCGGGCATATTGGCACCCGCGGGCTTGGGGTTAAAAACCCTTGATTTATTGTATTAATGCTTAATTATGATTGATAAATATTTTATGCATATTTTTTATATTTTTCTATATTTAAATACTATTTAACACATTAAAACTCATTTTTATTATTTATCAATATATTAAAATGTATGAGCGTAATTATAGGTATAAATATGTATATTAATAAAACACAGACGAGAAATGATATCAGAAATTATGAAATTTTATCTGGAAACAGATCCATTGAAGAATATTTATAATGAATTTCTACGTTAGATTAATACAGATCTCATATTTTCCAAATTAAGGAAATTCCACCATTAGATTTTTTTTGAAAAGCAATGTTAATGTTTTGTAATCCTAAAAATATCAAATTTTCTATCAATTTTTCTTTGAAAGCAACGATTCTTAAGGCTGTTTTCGACTAATGTTAAAGAATAGAACCCAAATTCGGAATATTTTTCCAGATATAAAAGTACTCAAATATAAATATAATATTATGGCTTCACTGACTTGTAGAGAATCACTTATTTTATCATACTATTCATTTTTATCCGAGTTTTGACACATTTTTTCTTTTATAAAATGTGTTTCGCATTTTTTCTCCTATATCGTAATGCTAAATTCCTTTACATGTTAAAAGTAAAAGCTAATTATTTATGAAATATTTTAAAATTTTAAAAACACTATATTATAAGCAAATGCATGAGCTACAATGTCACAAATTTTTATAAAAATTGAGGCATTTTTTTTTTGGTCCGAAAATGTGCTCCGCGTTAAGTTTGCGCTCTTGTGCACATATGACGAAAACAGCCTTAAACCAAAAACTATTGCGTCGCTAATTTCTTTAAGGAATTGATAAAGAATTCTTCAAATCTTAAGCGAAAAACTTCAAAGAAAAATTGAC